AAAGACAGGCACAAAGCTGATTGGATTCTTGAGAACCGAGCCTGGGAACGTGTAAAAGCACCTGACGCTTCACTAGGAGAAAAGACTGCAGCTTGGCTAACAACTACCGCAATGAAAGTTAAGCGAAAATTGGGTATGGGGCAGAAGAAATCATCTTTTCGACGAGGTGTTCTCACGAAAATCACAAAGTCCTTGAAGAAAAATGCTCCCACCACCACGACATTAAAAAAGTCTGCATTGGTTGCTCTTAAAGCGGCAAGATTAGCGGTGAAGAGTGCAGGTGGAAAACATAAAGTTCGACTACCGAGAATAATTCCGATCGAAGGAAAATCTGGGGGATTCCTACCCTTGATCCCCCTTTTCGCCGGATTAAGTGCCTTGGGGGCGCTCGTAGGGGGAGCTGCAGGTGTGGCCAAAACGGTCGTTGATGCCAAGAATGCACAAAAGAAATTGGAGGAAGACCATCGCCATAACAAAGCTATGGAGTCTTTGGGCAAAGGATTGTATTTGAGAAAAAATGCTAAAGGTGGTTATGGGTTGTACCTCAAAAAAAAAACTCAAAAAAACTAAACATCAAGCTACCCAAGAAAGCGCTTTATGATTATGAAATAAAGCAATATGCGAAGCTCTTGAACATACCTCATTTCCGAGGTGTCTTCATGCGTGACACTTTACCACGAGACGGTCCACGTAAAAGAGAATGCGCCGTCGTGAACTTAGATATTTCACAAAACAACGGAACTCATTGGGTAGCTTATAAAAAGATAAACAACAACGTTGAGTATTTCGATTCATTTGGTAACCTGAAGCCTCCACAGGAACTTGTTCGATATCTGAAAAACGCTAAAATTTTCTACAACAACGATCCTTACCAAACTTATAATCAAGTTAATTGCGGACAATTGTGTTTGAAATTTCTAAACAATAACAACAACAACAACGATGGATAATAAAACATTATCGGAATTTACATTAGAAGAGTTTGAGAAGAATATTCCGCCGCTGGAATATTTAATAAGCAATGTGAGACCTGCAGAATTATTGAGTATATGGCACAAACTGCCTGCAGAATACACATCCAATTTTGATCTTCAAATACGACTTCCATGCTATGTTCACTACAACAGACCTGATTGGACAACACATTGGGATGGACCGGCTACTGCTCAAGCAAATTGTTATTTCTGTAAATTATCCATTCGAAAATAAACAAAAAAAAAAAACTTGAATAAATGCTTAGTACACAGCTATATTTTTTCATTCATCATGTCGCAGTTGTTGAGAGTCAATAGCACTACTCATATATTTTCATTTCGTCCTTCAACACCGATAGTGTTGGATCCGAAAAAAGATTATGAATTGGCGCTTAGGTCTTTTACTTCATACAATTCCATACCGAATATTGAAAAAGGAGATAAATTTTATTATATCGACCGGATAGGTGGTGGTGGTCAATTAAAAGTCATCGAGTTTCCGACAGGTTGTTATGAAATTACCGACATAGAAACATTTATACGAACGCAAATGAATCTTGAAAATGAAGTTGCTCCTCCGGATGATTATTTTTCTCTAAAACCTAACAATAATACACTGCAATGTGAAATCTTTAGCAAGTATTATAAAATAGTTTTTACAGAACCGAATAATCTTGGACATCTATTGGGATTCTCGAAAAAAGTTCTTAATCCTGGTCAAAAGCATTCTTCTGATTTACCTGTAAACATAATAAAAGTATCAACCATACACTTTGATGCTAACATTACGTCGGGAGCCTTTGACGGAGACACGCCTGCACACACGATCTACGAATTTGCTGTGACAGCCGATCCTGGATACGCTATAGTCGAAACACCTGTAAATTTACTATATCTACCTGTTATACCGAAACAAGAAATAACCAACATCACAGTGTTGGCTTTAGATCAAGACGGTCGTCCTGTAAACTTTCAAGGTGAAACTAGTACTCTTGTGTTGGAGTTGAGAGCGAAGCGCAGATGGGATTAGTGATTATAAGACATAGTGGTGCTTCCAAGGCAACTTCAGTATTACCCCAAGCACCTAAGCGACGACATCTACTACTAACTACATCAAATATCCTGTTTCTACGCTCACTTGGATATCATGTCAACAACAACAAGAATCATGTACAAAAAGAGAAAAACTGAGGAGGCAGCAGCAGCAGCAGCATCACATACTTCTCCGATGTTTGATCTATATCGATCTCCAGCATTCGATGAATCTATTCGCAAGGCTGAGTATAGATCTTATACGCCGTTCATCAAGTCATTTAATTGTAATGATGTTGTGGAATTTAGCATCAATCAAGTAGATTCGTTCTTTGCAATGAACGCTTCCCTTCTATCTATCAAAGGAAAAGTTGAAATAACTGGAGGAGGAGGAGCAGGAGATGTATCTTTAGCTCCAAACTTTGGTGCCTTCCTATTTGACTCTTGCACTTACAGTGAATCCGCTAGAGAAGTTGAAACAGTACGTGATCCTGGTATTGTAAGTACTGTCCGAGCTTACGTATGTTACAGTGAGGAAGACTCAAATCATATGGCTATAGCTGGATGGAACTATCCTTCAACACCTATAATGGCGTCAACACATAACAAGTCTTTTAGCTTGCTAATGCCGCTTAAACATATTTTCAACATTTTCAATGATTATCCTATGATTACGTGTGGCAGACAAACTCTCAGATTTGTGAGAGCTAGAAACGATAACGATTGTATCATTATCAAGGAAAAAACTGGAACGACGACGACAGCGAAAATAACTATTGAAAGCATGGAACTGAAAATCAAACATATTTACCCGAGTGATGATGTGAAAGAACAACTTTTGAAAGCTATTCAAACTGATAAGCCGATACTTATACCGTTTAGAAAATGGGATCTGAATGAACTGCCTGCAATTACCGCAGATGCGAGAAGAGAAATATGGTCAGTTAAAACTAGCACCGCAATCGAAAGACCACGTTTCATTATAGTATGTTTCCAAACCGGTAAACGTGACGTCGCAACCTCAGACCCTACCCTGTTTGATCACGTGAATGCTGCTAGTATTCGAGTATCTTTAAATGGTGAATACTATCCCAACGAACGTATGCAATTGGACTTTGCAAACAATCACTTTACTGAAGCTCATTTCAACTATAGCGACTTTCAAACCAGCTATACAACTTCTTCTTCTCCTCTGAAGAGATGTCTTTTAGATTATACCGCTTTTAAAAATCGCGCTTTGTTTGTTATTGACTGTTCCAAACAAGAGGAAACCATGAAATCATCAACTGTTGATGTTAGATTGGATATCGAAGCCGATACTGGCTTTCCAACCAACACCAAGGCCTACTGCATCATTATACATGACTGCTTAATCGAGTACTTCCCCCTCACCGAAGTTATTAAAACCATCTCGTAAGCAACGAAGGACTCTCAGTTCCGCATCAGACATCATGAGGATCGCGTTTGTTGACATTCAAGGCTTTACAGTTGACGGATTATTCGTACCTAAAGAACTATGTATCGAAATTGGTTTCAAGAAAAGTCATTACATCTTTACACCTCCGCAACCTTTTTCTACATTAAATACTAAAGACAAGAAAACTGTCGCTTACTTGGAGAAGAATTTCCATGGGCTTAAATATTCTTCCGGCGACGTTAAATATTCCAAGTTAAATGAAATAATTAAAAATAAGGTGATATATGCGGCTGACTATGTCTACGTTCGTGGAGAACAGAAAGCAAACTTTTTACTCAAGAAATGTCACATTTTTGGTGTTTTTCCCAACATTATTGATGTTTGCAAGTATGATGGTACACCGTGTGCTACTGGAAACTTTGTTGCTGATTCCAATCCATGCCACACCAACGGACAATTTTCCTGTACCCAGAGAAATGTTGAACGTCTACGCCACTGGTTTTCAAATATCATATTACCTATGTAGTTTTTTTCTATTTTCAATAAAATATTAAACGTATTATTGTAGTTTTATTGAAAATACCTCTGGTTTGCGAAATAATTGTCAGAATGTCTATACTATTTTCATTTTGAACGGTATCATCCTGTATAATAATAACAGTACATCGTATACAGGTTATGAGACATTCTGACCGACCGACCGACCGACCAGAGGAGCCCACCACGCTATTTAGGTCACGCCTTGCTATATACGATTTAACGATATACCGTCGGTCCATCGATCCGCTATTTTTCGATGCACCCCTGTATACACGTTGCCCCCCGTAATCCACGCCAACACCAGACAGGTGCGACATCGGCGCCATCTATGCGCGAGATGCCCAACCCATCAATGGCAGCTGTCCAATGACGCATAGATTCCGTTAGGTTTGTACACCGCCAAACAAATCTACGCCATTTATGCGCGAGATGCTCAACCCATCAATGACAGGTGTCCAATGACGTATGACAGATGACGTGTAACGCCATCTATGCGTGAGATGCCCAATGACGCATGACAGGTGTCCAATGACACACAGATTCCGTTTGGTTTGACAGCGCCATCTAGCGGCGGAATCCCCAACTCATGAATACAGATTCCGTCCAACAACCTGTCAATGGCGCGCGACGCCAGCGCCTCTGGTGGCGGATTTTGGAAGTTTTGAGACCGAATCCCCATAAGACATCTACTGGGCTCGTATAAACAAACCTATTTTTTAACTGATTCTTCTATCTGAATAGCATGGCCGCTTAGAGGAATGTTCAAATTATTTTTAATAACGGACCTTAGATTTTTAGGAGAAAAAATAATAACTTTGCATTTAGAAGGATTCAACCGGAGACTATGTTCTGTTGTATAATTTTCAATAAAATTTAGTTCCTTCCTTATTTGTGCTTTCGAAATTTCTAATTGATCATGATTGAAGCTGTGATATAATTGTGAGTCTTCAGCAAAAAACTGAATACTACAAAATTTCACAACCCTGCCTATATCTACATCTCCCAAGGCATTCAATTTCAAGAAATCTAATAATGAAGATAGATCTGAAAAATTGATGGGCTCAAAACTTAAATTTATGGTTGTGTTTTTTTTTATAGGTTGTATTCATGGGCGATGATACTTGGGCAAATCTTTATCCAAACAGATTTATGAGAAATTACCCATATCCATCATTTAATGTTTGGGATTTGGATACTGTTGATAATGGAGTAAGAGAGACATTATACCCAGAATTGAATAAAACTGATTGGAGCTTGTTAATAGGGCATTTTTTGGGTGTAGATCACTGTGGTCACCGTTATGGCCCAAATCACCCTGAAATGGCTAGAAAATTGGGAGAAATTAACTCGGTTATTGAGTAAGTTGTTTGTTAAATTTCTTTGTATTTTCTGTAACACTAAATTTTTTAGGAAGGTGACACAGCAGATGCAAGATGACATGGTATTATTTGTGATTGGAGACCATGGTATGACGTCTACAGGTGAGAAGATGCACTTCCTAAATAATAAAAAAAATTACACCACTGTATCTAGAATATTCAACAAAAATCCAAATAAACTTCGATTTTCTCACTGCATGCCACCTAAAGGCTGAAAAAAGAACTAAGCTTACAAAAGTAACCCATGATGCCTAACTAATATTAGAACCGCGCAAAAAAGGCCCTTTTAAAGTTATACTGCTTTTTCTGAGATGATCTTGAAACCTTTGTCTCCCATAAACCACTAAAGTTACAACAAATAATGTTAACAAAAAATGGCGTCAAGTAGGTTGACTCTACACTTCCCACGCAACGCCATTATCATTTCATAAAGAAATCTTCGGTACACAGTAGACGCTCGGAGAAAAAGTCAGTCAAACAGGTCCGTACAATTAGTACATAGACATTATCCGTCAAACGTGGCAGGAAACACATGCTGTGGCGCAATAGTAATACGGCAGAACACTCACCAATGCCGGCGGCATGCCGTCGTGAGGAAAAGCAGTCGCGGTCGGTATGTACTTGATCGGTCAACTGAGAGTACTTTTAAAATTTTTTAATGAATAATGTAATCTATGATGTATGAAATGTGTGTAAAAGGTGCGTAGATTTACCAAGGTTGGGAGCATATAAATATACTAACATAAAAGAATTGAGATATACCCTCACCCTTCAACCCCCACCCCCAAATTTTTTTGCTTCTAAAAATGTTATCAAAAATGATCAGATTCCTCCCTTGTCATGTAACATCCAAAAGACAATATTCAATTTTCGAAAATTTTCGCGGTTACAACTTTCTTGCCAGAAGTAAAAGGTCACAAAATACGAATACTGTCCAATAGTGCTATTCTATATACAATAATATGTCGATGACTAATGGTTTCAAAAAACAGCATTATTAATTTTGAAGATAGAGTGACGCTCCCTAGCGGCCATTTTGGGAAGCTGACACTAATTTCCAGCAATTTCTTTTGACCATTTGTCACAAAAAAAAATTGAACGATTGCTCCAGGTTGAGTGGCTGCCGAGATACGGCAGTCGTCCTTTATTAATGACCCTCCTGCTATATGCAGTATTTTATTAATGATGACAGTAAATTGAAATTTGTTATACTTCCCTTTTCAGGTGACCATGGTGGAGAGAGCCCTGATGAAGTAACAGCAGGATTATTTGTGTACTCTAACCAACCTTTATCAATGATTCATGACCAAGTAGAATCTGTCAAACAAATTGATCTAATACCCACCTTAGCCACCATTTTGGGCATTCCCATTCCCTTTCAAAATTTGGGAATCCTTATTCCTAATTGCTTACCACAAAAAAGTATTGGTGTTGACAGTTGGAAAGTTCACCTCTTCTCCTTATGGTCTAATGCCCAGCAGATAGTTCATTATATCAAAGAATATTCTCAAAAGGAGGGCACTTTTAGTAAGGAATCGTTAGAGAAATTCTATCGGGAATATTCTTCACTCAGCACTAAAATCCATTCAATAGACAACCAGCATGATTTTATGCAATTTGCTGAAGAGCTCGAAGGGTTTTTGAAGGATCTGCGAGAGATGTGTGAGAAAGTTTGGATACAATTTGAACCATTCTCTATGGCGCGAGGCCTACTGTTTCTGTTCCTATCAGTATTCTGTGTTTTTCTTATTACTGATGGCATACCATTGGACGCCCTTTCGGAAGTGATTGTAAGCCCATTTTTGATATGTTCTTACATTGTATGCTTTTTAGCTGCCGCCTTCTCAGGCGTACTTTATTTTTTAGAAGTGACTGATAACTGGTTATCTTCAATGTTCTTTTGTACTTGCCTTGTGTCTCAAGCTATGCTAGCTGTGCCTATAATCCAAAATTGGGGAGATATATGCCTTAATTGGTACTCCAAAAGCAAAAAAGAAAGATTTATGAGCCTATTATGTCGCCTAATGTTAGTTTTGAATATCTGTGGTGTATTTTCGAATAGCTACATCATTGAAGAGTCATTTGTTTTACTATTCTTGTCTGTTACAATAATTCTCGCTTGTACTTTGGGTATAATTTCTCCAAAACTCAAAATAGAAGCCAAGAAGAAGAGCTACATTGCTAAGTTTTTCAAATGGTCGAAATTGAAATTCGTCCTTCTGTCTTTGACCATCGCAGCACTTGTTAGGGCCTCAATGTATTTTTGGAGATGTAGGGAGGAGCAGCAATGGTGTTTTGCGACTCATTCTGAAGTAAGCAGGATTACGGCAAAAATGGAAACGACAAAATTGCAGTGGGCTATCACAATAATTTGTCTTGGGGCGTTCATCTTCAGTACAAAAGAATGGTTGAAGAACTGTGGAAATTTGAATGGGTATTCTTTGACTGTGGGTCTGTACAAGTTTGTTCCAACAGTCCTTGTAGTGTGTATTGGCGGGTACTGGGTGCTCAGAAGATCACCATCTAGCAGAAGGGTGAATATGAAGACTACAAACATTTTGGCATGGGCCATTTATAGCCTTATTGTTTGTGGAATAGGCTCCTGCATTTTACAACCGATATGTACTTATGTCATACCAGGTAGGTCGTAAGTGCGTCATCAGTCTTTTTGATCGAACGTTCCATTACATGTAAATATCAGATATAGTATTAGTATCAAATTATTGGTTACGTTCAGTTGCATTCAGGAGCTAAAAGTTAGCGCAGCATAAAGTATGAGTTAGCTCAAAGTGCATTCAAATCTCATTTACGCCCCATTAAAAGAAAACATTAGTGCGCGACGTTCAAATTGACGCGCTTCTTTTGACAGGCAGTGACATGCCGCGATCGAGTGATTAAGTTTGTTTTGACGCGGAATAGATTAGGTTTCGATAAACTTTAGTCTACTAGATGTCATCTGAATGAACTTTTTTAAAAATTCGAGAACCTTCACATTGATTATCAAAAGTCAGGTATGAGAAACAGGTTATTCCGAGCTGTGCTAGCTGTCAGCGGATTCTGTACATACCAAGTAACAAATTCAGACTACATAGAGGGAGTAAGTCTGTGATTTGTTTGTCGATAAATCATGGAGTCGGTAGTCAGATTGCAAGTTCACACTACACGTCGATCATAGCTGCTTTCCAGTGACCCTATTGAGTTAGTCGGAGTAGCTCAGTAGTGCTCAGCACCAATACCGTACCACTGCAAGCTGTATTCTCATGCATTGTTTCTGGAGCAGTTCGGGAGCGTGTCACTCTCAAACCAAAAGCCACTGGAAAGCAGATCTGGCTTAAGCCGCCATTTGGTCAGTTGTTGACATTTCACATGAAATTCATATTTCTCTACGAAAACTTATAAAAGTCCGTGTATCCTAGTGTTCCAGATAATTGTCTGAAATGGTGGAAGTTTCTGATGAATGCAAAAAGCTGTTTAAACAGAGTGATCGATCGATAAGTGTTGATATATTATAGTCATCGGCATTGCGAAAAGGCATGTGCCTCAATGTTGGGCTTTTATCTGGACAGTTATGAGGTAATTTTATTTATTTCGGTCACTTCTTCTTTCTTTGAGTGCACAGACCGAATCTACAACAATAATGAAAAATGAAAGGTACTGGTTTAATTTTGAATCTAAAAGTTCTTAGGAAATGATTTTACTTTAACGTTATTAATAGTAATTGCAAGTTCTCATTTAATTGACACGAGATTCTAGTGAGTGTAGGCCCCAGCTATGAATATCAAATTAATTAAATCTTTTTATTTGATAAATATAGTGACAATGATATAATATCTGTAATTTCCATATTATCCTAACTAGGTATTTCCTTTTAGCCAAGAATCTGCTCAGATCAGAAAAACGGAGTAGAATTCAAACTGTCCCCACTATTTCCAATATCAGGTATTATGATATTGCTGCTGTTTGATGTAGACAATTTTTCCTATTTTTCACTTTCCAAAATCCCGAATTAAGTAGAATTGTACATGTGCTATACCGTTACTTTCATTTTTTTGACTGATTTAACCATGTTTATTCACAATAAATGAGCGATTCACGTCGCAACACAGATAGTATTTCTGCCTAACTAAACGTGAGTACAATAGGTTTACTTGAATACCTCTCCAGAAAAAAATGTGCTTCGATGTACTGGCTTGTCACTTTGGTAGGCAATATTAGACGATTCTGGCAAAAGTATGTACATAATTTTGGCGATTTGGCGTCAAACAATGCAATGTTAACGTATTAGGGCCCCTTCTTTTCATATTATACACCTCGCAGCTCGACAGATGCCGGAAATATTGCTCCTAACGCTTCTGTGCTGATGATATACAGTGATACGTATCTAACATCTGAAGATACGGCCATCGAAAAAGCATGTGATCAATTGAATGAGGACTAGCATTGACATCTGAGAAGTACTGTCTAATAACACTGAACCCTTCGCAATGAGAGGTCATGCTCTTTGGTACGAGTAAGGATCGAAACAGATGCCTAAGTAAAATATGTAAATATTAGCGTGTGAAAAAATTATTCTAAAAGCTGTTACAAAAAAATTGTTCGTGCACCTAGATTATACAATAATCTTAAAATGCTATACAGGGTTATCCAAATTAAGTGTCCACCATTAGTAACTTTGTTATTAGTGAAAATACAAAGTTGTTTGAATTAGCAAACTAGTAGCATTTTTAACTCTGGTAAAAATGAGAAATAAAAAAAAACAATTGAGAGTCGTTATTTTGATTTTTTTCAGTAAAATATCATTTTTTTAAATGGAAACCCCTGTATATTATATTTTTTTCTGTTAAAGCATCAAATTTTAAACAAAAAAGTTCATAATGACTTTTCCGCTAAAGTCAAAAATAAAGTCAAGATAACGATAAATATTTTTAATTATTTGCAGTATTATAATATTAAGACGGCTATGAAAACAACATGGCGTTCGCGATTTGACAGCATTAAGATAAGCGACAAATTGTTAAACTGGACATACTCGCAACTAGAAGGCTTTGGAAAACAATGATAAAATCAAATAATGTCAAACATTAGTGTAAATACTTGTTTATAAGCTTTATTGTGTCATTAATTTAAAGAAAAATGTTCTCCCATGAAGAAAAGTGTGATATGTTAGAATGCTATTTAGTGTGCAGAAAATCCTCCTTGAGAGCAAGAGAATACTACAGTGAATTATATCCCGCTCGCATTCAACCGTATGAACGATATTTTCTGAGACTTTATCGAAAATTTAGGGGCAACGAAAATGTTTTTGCTAAAACAAGGGCAAAAAAAGAATTCATAATAAGCGAGGCCACGGAAATTGCAGTTATTGGATATTTTGAAGCTTATCGTGAGAATTCAATAGCAGATATTCTCAAGGACTCTAATTTCAGTTATGGTACTGTTCAAAGGATTTTAAAAAAATACAAATTTATTCCGTATAAGTACCGACCAGTTCAAACGCTTTTGGCAGGGAATCCAGAGAGAAGACTTGTTTTTTGCCATTGGTATCTTAGCTTCTGTCGCCAAAATGTAAATAACTTTCGTTACCTTTTATGGACAGATGAATCAAATTTTTCAAATTCTGGAATGTTTAATAGAAAAAACCACCATTATTGGTCAAGAGAAAATCTTTTGTTAGTACATCCAAGAGGCCCACAAGTCCGTTTCAGTTTCAACGTTTGGTGCGGTATAATTGGTTCAAAAATTGTTGGCCCGTTCTTTTATGAGGGAACCCTAACTGGTGAAAGATATGTGGAATTTATGTCAGAAATTCTGACTAATTTCTTAGACGAATTGGATCTTATAAGTAGACATCATCTGCATTTTCAGCAAGATGGCGCACCTGCCCACAACTCCAGAGGTACTTATCATTTTCTAAGTACTACTTTTAATGATCAGTGGACAGGAACAAATGGCCCAATACAGTGGCCTCCCAGATCACCAGATCTAAACCCACTTGATTACTTCTTGTGGGGTTACTTAAAGAACCAAATTTACAAGCGAAGGTACGATAACCTTGACGCGTTAAAGACTGCAGTTAGGGAAAAGATAACCCAGATAGATGGTAGGACCATACTTAAGACAGTTCGAGCAGTTGAAAAACGTGCCCAAAAATGTATTGAAGAACAAGGTGGTGTTTTCGAGCATCTTCTTTAAAAAAAATTGTTATTGTATTTTGTAAGATTATAAGTTGATGTTGAAAATAAAGTTTGTCGATACAATTTAATTGTTTCAGATTGGAGGCCATAACTTCAACAATTTGTAACCTAGGAGAAAAGTTATTGTAAGCTTTTTTGTTTAAAATTTGATGCTTTAACAGAAAAAAATATAATATACAGGGGTTTCCATTTAAAAAAATGTTATTTTACTGAAAAAACAAAATAACGACTCTCAATTGTTTTTTTTTATTTCTCATTTTTACCAGCGTTAAAAATGCTACTAGTTTGCTAATTCAAACAACTTTGTATTTTCACTAATAACAAAGTTACTAATGGTGGACACTTAATTTGGATAACCCTGTATAATAGTAAACGTATCCTCACACAGCAATCGAAGAAAATTCTGGTGAAGCCTTTAGTGTTGTCACATGCTACTTATGCAGATGCACTGTTTATGCCATGTTTACGTAAACGCGATGAAGAAGGATTGCAAAAACTTCAAAATGCATGCGCATGCGTTTTATCACGGGAGCTAGGAGGCGAGATCATGTTTCTCAACACTACTCCAGCCTACGGATGAAATATCTAATAACTCCTGTTTATCTGTATAACAAAATTCGTTAAAGAACAGACTTCCGCACTCTCAGCCTGCATTAAGGACATCTAATTTCTACTCCTAGATTCTGCACATCGTCTTTCAAAGGTTCTTTTTCTTACAATGTCGCACGGCTGTATAATACGGTACCGATTTCATACAGGAGTTTGACTATGAATTTTTTTTTTCAAAAATGAAGCGTTTCTGTTGGTTGATAACTGTACAATATGAAACACAAATTTTAACTCCTTTTTCTGTGTATACAACAGTTTTTCATTTCTGTTTTACTTTAACCCTTAACTGGTAACGTGCCGTCTGTGAGACTGCAAGCAATTTTTTTTTCAATGTTGGAACAAAACTGTACCTGCGCTGCGGTCAATGACCTTATCTAATCGTTCTCCTATTGGTGCCCCGTCTACCGCATGAACAGTGGTAAATGCGGGAAAACCATCTTTGAGACAGTTGTAATTGTTACTTCAGCGCAGTCTGTGAGACGGCACGTTACGGTTTGTGTAAGAATTTCTTGCAACTTGTAGCCATGGCAGGCCCGTCAAAACGTGTACGTTACGGTGATAAGGATTTTGAGGAGACTCTTCAGCGTTGGTATGAAGAAGATGACGCAGTATATAGTGAATCTAGTGACTTGGACAATACCTCAGACGAGGAATTTGAAATTTCCGATCATGATAGTAGAAGTGAGTTATCTCAAAGTAGTGACGAGAATGACGAAGTTACAGAACAACAAAGTGTGGATGAGAGAAAGTATTTATTTGGAAGAAACCGTCATAGATGGTGTACAACGGAAGTTCGACCAATATCTCGTACCAGGAAACATAATATTGTAACGAAAGTTCCTGTTATCAAAGGAAAAGCTCGACAGCTCGGAGAAGAAGCAGATCCTATTTCTGTGTGGCAACTGTTATTTACCGAAGAAATGTTACAACATATTGTGAAATGGACAAATCATAAAATAAGTTCAATGCGAACAAAGTATAAAGTGGATTCGACCACATTGAAAGACGTTGACGAGATTGCGTTGAGAGCTTTTTTTGGACTTTTGATATTCACATCTGTTTTCAATTCAAACCATGAGAATATCAAAACTATTTTTGCGACAGATGGAAGTGGAAGAGACATCTTCAGGGCAGTGATGAGCGAAAAACGATTTGCTACACTTCTGTCTGCAGTGAGGTTTGACAATCCAGAGGACAGGAACGAAAGGAAAAAGCAGGACCCTGTAGCAGCAATTTCTTTTATTTTCAACAGTTTCATAGAGAATAGCCAAAATGTCTATGGAATTGGCCAGTCGACCACCGTTGACGAAATGCTTGTGAGCTTTCGTGGCAGAGCTAGATTCAAAATGTATATGCCAAACAAGCCTTCCAAATATGGGATAAAAATAATGGCTTTAACAGATGCTAGAAATGCCTACCTTTACAATGCGTATATATACGCAGGAAAAGATTCCGATGGGATTGGACTTGACCCAGAATTCAGGAATTATTCTAAGCCAACTCAAGCCGTTTTACGTCTTGCACAGCCTTTATTTGGGAGCAACCGCAACGTCACGGGAGACAACTGGTTTTCATCGGTGGAGCTGACAGACATATTACTGAAAAAGAAGCTCACATACGTTGGAACGTTGAAAAAAAATAAAAAGGAAATTCCACCTTGTTTTTTACCGAACAAGGCAAGGGAACTTAGATCAACTCTGTACGGCTTTCGTGAAGACTCAACTATAATTTCCCATGTTGGAAAGAAAAACAAGGCTACCATACTTATCTCCACAATGCATGATAGGACTTTTACTGATCCAGAGACAATGAAACCTGAAATAATTGTATACTATAATGCCAACAAAGGAGGGGTGGATTCTCTTGATGAGAAATGTGCAAAAAGTAGTTCTAGTCGTCGTACACGTAGATGGCCTTTAGCTGTTTTTTACCGTATTATTGACGTCTCGGTAGTGAATTCATACATCTTACATCAGTGTTACAAAAACAATAAAGTGATGAAAGACAAATCTGTATTTGCGAAAGAACTAGCTATCAAACTTGTCCAAGGACACATGGAAAGACGACTACAGAATCCTCGTTTGCCTCGCGAGTTACGCTACACCATATCACGTATCCTCGGCAGACCAGAAGAAAATTTACCCGACAGAACGGAAAATTTACCCGAAAGACAGGAAAATTTGATGTTGCAAAAGCGAAAAGCCTGTTATTTGTGTCATAAGACCACACATCGAATGACAAAATATCTGTGCTTGGAGTGTAGGAAACCAGTATGCCTGCAGTGTTCACATCCCAAATGCAACAGTTGTGCGAATAAGCCTTAGATTTAGGACCTGCTGGGACCTTTGAAATGCAAAATTTCTTAACGTTTTGTTTCATTGATCTATTGTTTCATTTATCATTAATAGTAAAATATATAACATTGCTTTCATTTATCATTTTTTCCATTATCATGCTCCCTTGGAAATTACACTACCAATTTTTTTTTCAAGTTGATAATTATTATTTAATTTTTTTTTCACGTTAATTTTTCCGGATATTTTATGTAAAATTATTACTGAGAATATGCAACTAACATACCTTCATATATATTTGTAAAAAATTATAAGGTTCATTTATTTATTTTTGATTTGAAAAGGTGCCAGTCTCACAGACTGCACGTTACCAGTTGTGTTCCAAATTTGCACGTTACCAGTTAAGGGTTAACTCTTCTTGTATCAAGTTCCTTGCTTGTAAGGTATCATACGGTAGGATAGTAAGATTTGAATTCTGCCGTTTGTCGGGAAGGCAGCTAGCATTTATTTGAAGTTCTATGTAATTTTTTGTGTGTGCTTATCGTGGCAATAAAGACCATTTATTACTATATAGGCTTGGCTCCCAACATATTCGTATTCGTTGATAACCGGCGAGATTCAGTTATTGAACAAAGTTATACTTCACACAGCACTAACTCTTAGTAGCTGAATGCAACTGAACATAAGCAATAACCTTATGGAGGCATCATATAGTGTATTTCGAACTCTACAATAAACGTAGAAACCATAACTGTTGGGTCATCGCAGTGTTTCGTCTAGGTTTCAACCCCATAAAAATATTTTTTAGGAAAACAATCTACATCTAGCAAAGAAAACCTCATACCGAAGCTCTTCAACAAGATCAAAGGTTCATTGACAGACAAAGAAGAAGACATACCAGTAATCTGTGGACTAGGCACAGTGTACAGTTCAGTCTACGTAATGATTGGGACATACTTGACCTTGCTGTTCACGTTACTATTGGGAGATGCAGTTGCTCCTGCCGCTGTGATCATGTTTCTCACAGCAGCTTTTGTTCTGATCATAACGTCTGTGATCAGGATCGAGAAGGCTGAAACCATGGGTAGGTCACAAAACAACCTGATGGTCTCGAAAGTATTCGCATAATCTTACTCAAAATCGACCTGTTTTAACAAATATGCATGTTGCCAAGCCCAATATTCGTCAAAAATTGTCTATACAAATTCCAAAAATTGTTTTTTTTTTTTCACCCAGGACAAATTTTTTTGGTTTGTTGATGTTGAGTTATTTTGAACAAAAAAGGTATTTATGGACTTTTCTGTAGAGATGATGTTTTTCGAGATATAAGTGATATTTGAAAAAGTGCAAGATGTGCCATTTCCAACCCTGAAAAGCAATATGAAAAATCGGAAATTTTAATGTTCCCAAAGTTCCTAAATATCCTTCATATCAATTAAACTAAATCCCAAAGCATTTTATGGTGTATTGTTATGGTCTATTGTTTTCTAATTGCTGGTCATGGATACACTGGTATATTCAAATGAGCTATTCAGGAATGTGAGCCCAACCATTTGTTTTTTTTTTTGGATCTCAAATCCAGGACCCATTCGATCCGGAAACGGCCCCGTTTTGAGAAATCGGCAAGAGTTCCATTTATAAAAAATGGCGTCAAGTAGGTTGACTCTACGCTTCCCATGACGCGCCGTGATCAGGTCATAAAGTATTACGTACAGCAAAAGTTAGACCCTACCGAAATAAGACAGCACCATAGACCTTATATCCTGGATAGAGGATAGTTGCTATGCTTGTTTGTTGTCCCAAAGACAATGCTGATGAGTTGCCAAATAAGCACACCACAGCTATCTATGTGGTGAATCTTTGGTTGGACGGGCGAAAGCAGCATGTGTAAGTTAGAACCACCATGAAAAAAGTTGGTTACGAACATGTATAACAGAGAAATTAAACGGAATTAAACAGGTCCGTAACAGTTAGCCCATAACATCCGTTCCCTGCCCTAACCATAGTAACGTTCATCTGGCAACGTCGCGTCGCCGCTCCAAAGTATCTAAAAGCATAATGCGTCACACACGGCAAAGCGCCAACCACAGAGCACCAGTTATGTACGACACATACGACCACTGGCACGCCGGCCGCGTCTATTGCAGTCAGCAGGCTCGGGGACGCTTAACGAAAACAGTTTTCTATTGATATAAGTTTAAAGGGCAAACGTTCGGAACAATATATGATGAGTGAAATATGTCTAATAGGTACGTAAAATTATCTGGTTATAGGTAGTGTATTAATATACTAATATCAAAAAATTGCGATAAACCCTTCCGTCAACGTCAAAAAACGGAGTACGAGCGGTTTTTATATATTTTTTTTTCCTTTTTGGAGTTTTTCTCCGTCGCCACTGGTTGGATTTTCAAAACTTACGAAGTTGTTACGTCCTTAGCGTACTGGTATCATTGTGTAAAATCTCATCAAATTCCTAGCGGTAGTTCTCAATGTTATAGGGTTAGAGGACAGACGGAAATGAGTTTTTTGTGATGTACATGTCATATAACTTCAAACAACGTAATATCTCAATTTCGAAAATTTCCATGATTACAAAACTTCCTCGTCAGTAAAGTAAAAACTACTAATAAAAACTGTCTTGTAATTAATTAAATTTGGAGTCTAAAGAAACAGTTTCCTGTTATTAATTCGCCGACGTTTCGGAAAAATTTCCTTCTTCAGGGCTCCACAAAAAAATGTAAAACACCAACTTTACATATGTATATTAATTAACAATTTAAATAATAAAATTGAAATAAAAGATTCTTACTTTGGTCAAGATATTATACAAAATGGGCTCTTTAGACTCTTCCCCGAATTTCATTAACAAGATCGCAATTCCCAATATACAGACACATACACAAAAATAATAAAACACAGATAAAATGATTAGATAGGTATTTAAAAACGAACAAAAGGTTCTTTCCATCTTCGATTATCAAAAAAAGAGAAACTATAGCGAACTCACCATGTTACTTGTGGTGGTCAAAAAATAATCCAATGTTATGCACATCAGGCAGCAGGGGTGGTCGCAGTAGTAGACTCTTCGGTCTCCTGATCAGTCACCGTACATTGTGCGGGTTCGAATCCCATCCGACGAGAAATTTTTCTCTTGGTTATGGATGTTGTGATTGTCCGTAGGTGGTAGACGGTCTCTGACTGTCGAACGTGGAGGTACCACCCGGCGGATCTCGTAGGCGGGGCCAGAATGTGTGCGAATTGCATGCACACGTGTTTCCTCGCCAGAGTCCGTATAGCGTTCCCCCTTTCCTCTGTAGTCCCCTATAGCCCCCATGGGTGTTTATGCCTTAGGCCTTCGTGGTAGTTGGAGTATAAACAAAAAAAATCTTAGATATCATTTAGACTGCGACTGATCAGTATAACAAACGAAATACTATAGCGAGATACAGCTAGTTGTTATATAGATCAGTTGCAGTCTAAATGATATCTAGGATGTGCATAACGTTGCATTATGTTTTGACAACCACAGTATCGAAGTAAAAGGGTATAGTTTCATGTTTTTTTATCATTTTTTGTGTATATATGTTGGCAATTGCTATCTTGTTAATGAAATTGGGATTTCATATAACGTTTCAACTAAAATAAGTATCTTTGACTTCGATTTTATTATTTAAATTGTTAATTAATCTATAAGTAAAGAAAGTGTTTAAATTTTTATTTTTATTTATTATTATTTTTTTTAGGGCCCTGAAGAAGGAAACACTTTTCTTGAACATGGGCAACTTTGTAACAGGAAACTGTGTTTCTTTAGAAATTCATATAAAAAGGGCCATTAGAAGAATAATTTACTGATAAAAAAATTGGGGCTGATATTGACTGGTGGTGAATAATCTTTTACCCCGAAGCTTCGCGGCATGAGTTTGTAGGAAACATAACAATTTTGAGTTTGTTCGGCTAGTTGGAATATCTGTTTTTTTTTCAGACCAACTTTTTGACGTACCCAACGTATCCATTCTGATCTGGATCATCATGTCCCAATACTTCTTCTACGCCACTGGCCACCAACCTACCTTTCCAAATATAGCCTGGGAAGCAGCTTTCGTTGGAACCACGGGAATCTTCTCAAACAACATCATTCCCGGGACGCTGATCATCGTAAACACCTTCTGTTCCCATATTCTGATGGGATTGCTTCTACCGTTGGTGCTGATCGCTCCGTTCATGGTATTTGTCATGATCCCATCCGTTGTGGGAAAGAAGATGGAGTTTCAGTCTGCTGTCGCTAGAGGGGAGGTCATCCTGTTTGAAAATGACAGTTTGATGGTCACCTCGATGTTTGTTGTCGCTTGCAAGTACATCTTGGGGCATGCGATCAGGGTAAGGATACGTAATAATTGCTTGGAATGTATATTGAAACTTTCATAATTACTTTATGCAAAACAAATCGCACAGAAGCATCAATAGAAAGCAAAGCTTATGCATGACCGCTTAAAAAGCGTGCTCACCGAAAACGGCTAGGAACTATTGATAAATAATCGTATGAAAATTCTTCTCCGTCTCGCATTGGGTTTTTTGAATTGATTTAGTTGAATTAGTGCTGAAAACCTTCCAGAAGAGTTACATTTGATACAAGCAAACTAGTAGTGTACGAGTGATCATCAGGGTGTCCACGAACTCATGTTTACTCATTATTATTTCTAATAATCATTTTTTTTCTCTGAGTTGCTCATTTTTTCTGATTGTTTGTGGATGTTTCCAAATTCAGTGAGCCTCTCATAGACGTTTAGATTCATAAAGTATTTCAGTAAGTCAAACAGTCGATATTTGGTGTAGGAGGCGGTTGCTACCCGAAAAAGGCGAAGTTCAGCTTCCATTCCTCTTAATCTTAACTCTACATAACGCGCTTAACTAACTTATCTAAATTTAAGTTTAAAAGGTGAAGATATAAGAATGAGATACAAGAATAATATTCAGTTAAAAGGAGCAGTTTCAAAACAATGATGTAACTAATACAGAAAAAATATCTTCTACTTGATTTTTTGGCAATGAGGGGTAGTCTTAGATCAAGAATGAAACGATAACATTCTCACCAAATTTTATTGACAAGTAATGTCGATGTCTGATTGTGGTACCTCATTCCAAGCAACTCGAACTTCGTGGATCAGCTGTGGCAGAGTCTGTGGCGGATGGTGCAAAGTCGATAGTCCCCTCCCCAGCATATACCACACGTGTTCGATGGGATTCCGGTGAACAGGGTGATCTGCGATCATAGCTAATAGCCCCCAAACCATTACTACAACAGTGCTGTGTACATGCCTCTCAAGAACAAATCCAATATCACGCGGTTCTCTAATGTTGCCGTTCTCTGCTCCAGTTCAAACATTAACAACAGTGGTGCGCCGTCAGAGAAAGTACTAACCGTGGACGGTATGAAGAAAGTCCTAAGACTCGAATGTGTCGATAGAGTGTACGCATTGTAATAGGGTCGACCTTCTTCTCCAAACCGTTGGTCAGCTATCCCCCACTTAGTAGCAAATCGGTCTCGTAGGGCTAGTTGTCTGAAGCGCCTATGTTGACGCTCTCTAGTACACCTCGGTGGACCAGTTGACCTTCTTTGTGTTCCTCTACCTTCTTCTAGGTCAAAACAACATCTCAATAGGCAATATTTCTACCCGTGTCAAAGTCTCCAACATGGTGATTATTTGGACATATTCGAACTCGAGGCATTTTGTTATGTGTAACACTAGTAAATGAAAGGGCATTAACTAAAAATATCTGTACTACTCAACTCTCTGAAACTGCTTTCTTCACAAAAACCAGAGATAAACCCTTCTAGAGATGGGAAACTCCAATACTAAAATAAGTTACCGTATTTTTGCGACCTCTGGTGGATTGGCCGCACACCAGTGCTGAATAATGGGCCTTTCCATCTTAATAGGACAAACCTAATGGGGCTTTTTACATTCTGTTAATAATAAATCGTCTTACGTAACAAAAACACTCCAAATGGGTTAATTTCCACTTTCTTAGTCATTAATACATGACGCGCATTTCAACACACAGTGTCTTTCTCCAATGCTGGGATGAGTCGCGCGTCACGTATTAATGACTAATATAGCAGAAATTATACCATTCGGAGTGTTTTTATTACGTAAAATGGCTTGTGGAAAATCTTTCTAGGGGATGCGAAGGGAGGAATTAAAATTCAAGAAATAATTATAGTCATTTTATGGTCAATCATTCATATACAAATTATATCACCTTTTCTCACAAAGCTAAATATAATAATAATAATGTCTTTAGAAATCCATCCACACTGCGAGGCGAAGTTTATCCAGCTGGCTACTCTACCACTTAACCTCACAGCGCAGAAACACATACAAAAAAAAAATATGACAATGAATAGCAATCGACTAACTAATATATACAATAATTAAGGCTTAAATAGAGTAATCTTAAGATGTTATACATCAATACTACATGGCCCGCTCTAACAAAAAAAAAAGAAATATATCAGCTAGCTTGGCTAGCAGACCCCAGACGATGGTTCTTAATGGCTCTCGTGAATGCAAGTATTCCCTTCTTTTTGCAATTGTTATTAAGACTATTATACACCTTGACAGCGTTGTAGGTGAAGCTACGATAGAAAATGTTGCTCCTATAACTAGGTATATTGAAGTCAGAGTTATGTCTGAGATTCCTGTAATTGAGATACCCACGTGGTACCAGCCTTTTTAGTAGATAAGTAGGTAGCCTATTGATTTTGATTCGTTGTAATAAAATTAGTAAATTATATGTGAAAAGCTGGTCAACCCTCAATCATCTAAGCTCATTGATCTTCTTAGACAGATGGCTAAACTTTCGCAGACCACAAACGAACCTACAGCAGCGATTTTGAAGTTTTTGTACTCGATATCTAGTCACGTAATCAAGACAAGGAAAGTAAAGAGCAATTGAATAATTTATTAACGATAGCACCAGAGTCTCAGCCAGTATTTTGCGAGTCTTGAAATTCAGAATATGGCGATTGTTGTATATCTTCAAACGCATGTATGTTAAGCGAGATAAATGCGTAACATGTTGCTTAAACCTCAAATCTGAATCCATGATGATCCCTAAATTCTTCGCATGATCTACTATAGGAGTATGGGTGTCGTTAAGACTAGGAACAATTCGGCCATCTAACCGTTGTACTAACAGTTTTGGGCCAAATAGCATGGTAGAACATTTTGAAGCATTGATCTTCAGACAATGTCTTTTGCAGTACTCTTCAATGTTAACTAGATCTAAGTTCAATTTATATGGTGGTGAGGAGTATAAGGATATGTGCAATTACTCAAATATTTGACGATATCCCCTACCACTTTGTTTATGAAGTATAAGTCCCATCAATTTGTCTTCTAGGCTATATCTCCGTCCCTGTGATTTACTACCAGCCAGTGTGATCTGGCTTTTGATAAAAGTAGCTACAGTGCTGTCCAAATGCTGCAATGGCTCATTTAATACTTCTCTTGTACTTCTGGTACTTCTAATCAACCTCCTTGTACATCTTAGTCTTCTATTAGCTCTAGAGAGGTGACTGGCTATCTTATATAGCTTCTTAGCTTTTGGACTTAAGTGGGTTTCTCTGGTTACATGTAACTTATGCAATAATCCAGATTCTGTTCTTGAGGAACCTTGAAATAAAGAATGAATTTGATATTATATTACATATATGTTCAGAATCCATTACAACTGTATTTTTACAAGACAATAAATTCAATAAAATGTTCCATTTCTAATTATAAATGCAAGTGCTTGATAGTCAAAGTTGACCAAACTTCGTTTAAAGTTTATATCATGCTGATGTGATTTGAAATTAAAATTATTATAATTAGTATTTATTGTTATGTATAGAAAACAATTTTGTTTTCAAACTTTCACAATTTTGAAGAACTTCTAGTAAGATTTGCTTTTTTTGGAAAACAATGTTTCCCTTGGTATAATAGGCTAAGAGATTCATGCAAAATTACTTTACTCACTTGCTTCTGAATAATGCTCCTCAATGGGTTCTACTGTAGTTACATATAGATTTGGAAACCTATGTCGTACTGAAACACTGTCCTGACAGCCTCTAATTGCGCATTTGCGGTACCGAGATATGGTTTCTGAAAAACAACATTCAGTTATAAAAATATGTTCAAGTTAAATGACTCAAGGAAATAGAAATGTTGCTAGACATGACAACATAAACAAAATCAAATTTAACTTTTGCAGTTGTAATAATGTAGTAATACTGTAATGATACAATATTAAAATTGATGATTTTAGCAAACATAAGCAGGGCCGTTGAGAAATAAGCTCGGGCTCCTATGCCCAAAAATTCTCGACCCCCATGCCGAAATATTCTCGGGCCCTTTTCTTGACATGAGCGAACCTAAGGACGTCTATTCATCAGTTCAGTAAGCGAGCCTCGTGCTCCCCTCAGCGCCGAGCCACGAGCTCCTCTCTTATCGACGGCCCTGAAGTTTTGTACCCAACATCTTAGCCTATAAAAATAGATTATATCACTATACTCACATGCTGCAATAAACAAGCGCTGTAATCACTCAAATTTAACCACACATAAACAAAAAATAAAAGTATTTAACGGTCCAAACCACCAAACACAAGGAAGAAAGGAAGCAGTGACAGCTGTCAAATATCAGCTTCCAATTCCGACAAACGACAACAGCGATACCAGCGGCATCCAACGGATTGATCACCAACTAAAAACACTGTTCCAATTCATCCCATAAGAGTGAATACCCCCTGACAAAAACTAAGAGATAACGTTTTCACAAAGGTAAACAAAAACAAAGATAAAACGTTGACATTGTTGCCACAGCATGCTTTAAATACAGGGTGGCGCATCGAAAACGAAACAGACGCATTTACTGGCAGCTCAGTTTTTTTTTTTTTTGGAAAAACGCTCATACCCGTCGATTTTTTTTCGAGGGGAACACAAGTTTGGCAAAAAATCACGTTAACACGTGCAGCCCCCTGGGCGGGGGTGACACCAACCCTAAAATCTTAAATGAAGGGGGGTCGAGTGATACCTTATTTTAAAGGTCTTTCAATTCCCTTTATAATGATATAAAATTAATGTACTTCAGTTCAGTAGTTTTGAAGATTTATTAATTTAAAGCTTAAAGTAGACTTTAATAGGTACATCAGATTAGTTTGTACTACTTTCAGAAGAAATTTGACTAAAAGAATTTACTTAATAAGTAAATGCTTTTCTTCACTACGCCCATGGTTTGTTTATCATTTTGTTGTTGAAAATAGCTATTGGAGCGTTTTTTTTGTGGCAAAAAAGTTATTTCTTGAAGAAAGATAAGGAAATATATCCTACTTATTTTAAATAGGAATTTAGTACATAGTTTGCGATTGATTTGACCAAACTTTGTAGCTAAAATAACTTGTACCGCTTTATTACATAAATTAACCATGGTATATTCCACAGCAGAAAGAGTTGAAATTATCGAAATATTTTTCGGAAATAATCAGTGCGCTAATAGAACAGCAGAAACATTTAATGAGCGACATGAGAACACTAACGTGCATCGAAAATATGTTCTAGAACTGTGCTAAATTTCGGGAAACTGGGTCAGTCGCCAATAAAAAACGCAACATTGAAAATCCCATAAGGAACGAAGCAATAGAAGTGGGGGTTTTAGGGCAAGTTTATGTAGATCCTACGTTAAGTACCCGCAAATTGGAGACTGTGTGTGGTGTTAGTCGACGTACTGTCCAACGGATTCTAAAGGCCCATAGTTTTCATCCGTATAAAATTCACCTGGTACAAGAACTTAATGAAGACGATTTTGATCGGCGATTACAATTTTGTGAAGATATGAGTGAACGAATTATAAACGATGAACATTTTCTATTCAACACTTGCTTTTCCGACGAATGTTCCTATTTCTTAAATGGCGTAGTAAATCGTCATAACTGCCGATATTTGTCCGATTCTAATCCCAGAATTTATCATGAGGTTCATACACAGCAGTCACAAAAATTAAATGTTTGGGCTCGTATTTTTGGCGATCATTTAGTTGGTCCTTTTTTCTTACCTGGAAATTTGACCGGTGAAATGTATTTGGAATTACTGGAAGACGCCATAGATCCTGCATTAACAGCCATAATTGAAAATCAGAATGATCGGCGGTACATTGCGAATAGGTTGATGTTCCAACAGGATGGTGTCCCACCACATTACGCATTACGTGTTCGACAATATTTAGATCAGACGTTTCCAGATCGATGGATTAGTAGAAGATTTATTACCTTCGGATTTCTTTATGTGGGGTCATTTAAAAAGCATAATCTATGCTGCTCAGACACCATCATTAGAAGACCTGCGACAAAGAATTATGAATGAGTGCCTTCAAATTACTCCTCAAATATTGCAAAATGTGCGGCATCGTTTTGAGCAATATCTTTATTTTTGCATGGAGAGTCATGGTGGCCATTTTCAACATTTACTTGCCTAACGGGTCAGTTCATTCTCCATTTTTAAATTCCTTTGCTGCCAAATGTATTGATCTCCACTAATGATGATGTATTAGTTTTATTTAAGCTTTAAATCAATAAATCTTCAAAACTACTGAACTGAAGTACATTAATTTTATATCATTATAAAGGGAATTGAAGGACCTTTAAAATAAGGTATCACTCGACCCCCCTCTCCATTTAAGATTTTAGGGTTGGTGTCACCCCCGCCCAGGGGGCTGCACGTGTTAACGTGATTCTTTGCCAAACTTGTGTCTCCCTCGAAAACAAAATCGACGGGTCTGAGCGTTTTTCCAAAAAAAACTGAGCTGCCAGTAAATGCGTCTGCTTCGTTTTCGATGCGCCACCCTGTATAGTCATTATGTTGCCGAAAAAACAAGAGGAAGAAATTATTTTTTCTGGGTGTAACACTTCTAATGTCACTGAGTATATTTAACCAGTTTGTTTCGACGATCTTATGTGAAATACTTTTACCGCGTCGAATTTCATGAGTGAGTCGTAGGCACGAGTTTTGAACATCGTACGACTTGACCTTTTTGTTTCCAAAATATTCATTTTTCGAGGATTGTCCCGGTCATCATGAAACTCAAGAACTATGTTTATGTTCAAGAAATATGTATTGTGGGTTTTTTTCTGTAAATAAAAAATACTGCATATGCTGGTATTATTGATTGAAGCATTTATTGGCGAAATACGTTAGTTATATTTTTCTGTCAATCAGGACTTTCAAGAACCAAAATGGTATTTTTAGATTCGTCCTCATTAGTAAGTATAAGTGGTGTTCCGTACTTAAATGGACGTAGTGAACTGGTGGGTGTTATGGACCGAGACCTTTTCAAAGCTCTAAACTCAGTTTTTTACGGATTCACAGGGTGATTTACCTAAACCCGCCAAATATTTAATATTACACATCTCGGGCACTATTGAAATTTTGCACGATAATAACTACCTAGGAATAACGTAACCTAGACAGATGGTTGAAAAGTCCAAGCTCAAGAATTGTAAACTTGGTTTCAAGAACATTTTACAAAATAATGCTTCAACTTAAACTGAAGAAGTATTAAGAACTCAAAATTTCAGTGTCAGGTTCAGTTTATTTTACTTGTATTTTATCAAGTGCAACGCCTTATTATTTCGCAAGAAAAGAGCAATACATGGTACATATTTAAAGGAAAATTAATGTAGGCACCCTATTCAGCATTTTTAAAATTTCTTCAATGATTCAACTCTATCAACTGATGTTATATACAGGGTGTTCATTTGGAAACCTCCCACCACGGATTTATCGAAAACTCCGAGACACGTCAAAAGATTTTTCAAAGGGGACAACTTTTTAACCAAAAACTACTTCACCCTCTGCCCCCAAGGTCATCCCCTTAAAAATTTTAAATGACAAAGGGCATCGAGTAATAGCTGGTTTGAAAAGTCTTTCCAAGTCCTTTATTTTGACGTTGATTTTACAAAATTAGAAAAATCTTTATTTATCTTAATTTGTTCAGACGGAAAAGAAAAACACACAAAAATATCGCTTTTTATTTCAATAGTGTTCAAAATGTTGCCCTTTATTGGCCAAACAATGATATAGGCGATGTTCATATTCCTGACGGACATTTTCAAAAACATGTTGTGGGTTATCATAGCAGCTTTCGATGATGCGTTGACGAAGTTCATCCAAACCTTCAGGTTGAGGAGTAAGCAAAAGATTTCAAATGGCCACAAAGAAAAAAGTCTAATGGCGTCAAATCAGGAGATCTACCACGCAGTTCCATAGGCCCTCTTCGCCCTATCCATTTATCTGGAAACCCGTCGTCTCGCCATTGCCGAACCGGAAGAACATAGTGAGAAGGAGCGCCGTCTTGCTGGAAATATATGTCAGCCTCATCAAGTATAGGGTTTCCATCCTCTTCGATTTGGCTTTCAATGGTTTCAGTGATAAGCGGATTGATGGTATTTTCCACCATATCCAAATGAATGTCTCCATTCAAATTTCCATTAATAAACAATGGCCCAATCACTTTTTTCTCTAAAATGCCTGCCCATACATTAATTGTTTGGGGGCACCTACGGTTATGCTTATTAACAAATCCATTTAGGTAAAATATGCATCATCACTGAAGCAGATATGCTTAACATGAATGGTATTATCATTAATCGCTGCAGTCACTTGTTCACAAAACTCAACTCGCCTATCGAAATCATCTTCGTCCTAATGAAATACCAGTCATAGCAACAATTTTGCGTGAGTATTCGGATTTTTTCCAAGATCTTACTCAAAACTTCAACGTGAGCTGCTTGGGCACCATAAATTAGAATCATTTCCACACCTTCGGCTAGTGAGTAAACCATTTTGGAAGTAAAATCTGTATCAATAAATTAATTTTCACTATCAGAAGATTTTCACAAAGGGAACTGACAGCAAATTAAATTCTTTCTTTCCCTTAGCAACAAATAACTAAACAGGTATAGCAATAAATACAGTTCACCCAGGATATCTGTATTGATGAAAAGAATGCAAAAAAATCGGGTTGTTATTTATGTTGGTAGTTTCCGTTTTAAATTATAAACGAATTGTAGATAAAGACCTTTCAAACAAGCTATTACTCGATACCCTTTGTCATTTAAAATTTTTAAGGAAATGACCCTGGAGGCCGAGGGTGATAGGGGGTGAAGTAGTTTTTCGTTAAAAAGTTGTCCTCCTTGACAAATCTTTTGAGGTGTCTCGGCGTTTTTTCTTTTAATCAGTGGTTTTCGATAACTTCGTGGTGGAAAGTTTTCAAATGAACACCCTGTAATGCTAACATGAATCCCAGTAGCAGTACTTTGTATAAAAATGCGCTGAATTTGACTCTCCAGACCAATTCAAGATTCCGATGAGAATGTAGAAGAATCTAATATACAGGTCCAGACTCGGACAATTAAACGTCTGGAAGGTCAAACGAATTGGAATTGCATATTAAATGTCGTTTCAGTTTTAAGCAGAACTCGTGTTATTGTAAAATATCATTTAGTAGAATTAAGTCATTTATATGTATATAATATTAATTTTCCGTTTTATTTATATCATGTCTTTCTATTTTTTCCGTGAAATAATAACAAATTTATAGTATATGTGACAGGGCGTTATTGCACTTAATAAAATATAAGGAAATAAAACAAACTGAATACGACTCTGAAATTTTGAGTTTTCAAAACATCTTTACTCCAATATAATGTAAAATGGTGATGAAGGCAAGTTCACTAACCAGATAACCCTTGAAAATTTTTGAATGTTATGTCTTAACAATTACTAAAAATAAGATATTTGAACAAAATTTTGATGAAACGCGAAAAAGCGAAATAAATTGAGTCCGGCACTGAATGTTTTAACCGCCCGTTTTACATTACTCCTAGGTAACTTTGTTATCGTGCATAATTTCAACAAAATGGGTTCGATAGTGCCCGAGATTTGCATAAATCACCCTGCATAGATAGATAGATCATTGTCCTATTAGATCATGTTACATGATATAAGACTTGTCAATATGAAACTGAGGGTCCGTAAAAACTAATTTTAGAACTATTTTCAGAGATGAAAAGGTTTCGGTCCATACTACCTGTCATTTCACTATGTCCATTTAAGTGTGGAACATCCTAGGTCTAGGCCGTTATCCATAACCGCAAAACAAAACTACCAATTGCTTGGGCATGCAAAAACAACCACATTGCAGTGCAGTTTGAGTTGAAGCTGCATTGCCATCGAGTTGCTTTTGATGAAAACGCGGCCTTAGTTTTTTTGTTCAGTGTGCAAAAACTAGAATTAGATTTACAGCTAAAAGCTGATACTGGCCGATGTTAAATTGAAGAATATCCCTACTGATATTTCTCTTGATTACAGGTGTTTGCCAGCATGTTGTCAGCTACAATCCATTGCCGGCATTTGATGGTCTGGAACATTTTCGCTCCAAAACTCATCTTTGAATCAATTGGAATGCTCGTAACGTTAGCTTCAGTTGTGATCGGTTTTATAATTTTAATTAGGGTCAATAAAAAAGTGGAGAGACTTATAGTCTATCTTAATAAGATGAGTTGATCCTGAGGCATAGGTTATGGTAGGTGTTAACAAAACTAGCATAATATTTGCATTAAGATTGTTCAAACAACAAAATTTGTTGCCTCAGCAGTAGAAAGATGTATATATGGTATGTTCACAGAAAATAGTATTCATTTATTGTTAAATCAAATGAAGCTAGTCATAAAAGTTAACTATCGGCCAGTGTATTTGAAAACATTTATTTAATGTTTTCCTTTTTTTATAAAAACGTGTTGTCCTTCTGTTTCATAAATCGTAAACCACGTTGTTACTCTTTTATACAACTTCTATGTTAGACGAATATATTTGTACAGTATTGTAATCCACATAATAATTTGAAAATAAAATTGGAGTGTTGATATAAGCTAAGATACCTTTATTTATTTTAGCATTATTAGTAGTAAACAAGCAAACGATCTCGTCCTACCTTGTCAAGAATTTGGTTGGTACCCAGTCCATGAAATAACCTTTTGGCGAAGAGTTTCCATTTATAAGGATAAAGTACGGGTCTGGATACATTGGTGCAGCGGGTTCTACAGTTTTCAGTCGTTTTCGGAAATATTTATATAACCTCGGAGTGACGTAAAATTGACAAGTTGACAGTTTGTCCTTCCTAATTCATACTACACAAGAAATTTCTATACAGAGTGTCATGCTAGCAGAAAAGGAGGAAATAATTCGTCAGCTCAATAACGAAAATTTAAAACTAAAAGAGCAGCAACTGTCAGTAACCGCAAGTATTACTGAGAAGGATGCCATAGCATCAGCATTAAATAGAATTAATATGAGACTCGACGAAGTTGAGAAAAACCAGTTAGTAAAAGAAAATTCATACGCACAAGTCTTAAAACAAACGATACCTATTACTAAAAGGCAATCACTGAAATGCATCACAGTTATTCCAAAAGAAAAACAATCTTGCGATAATACGAGAAGAGAATTGAGTAAGAGAATAAATCTTTCGTCTCTGAAGATTCAAATAAAAAGTGTGAGAAACTCAAAAAATGGCGGAATTGATATAAAAATTGATGAATCAAACCATAATAAACTGAAAGATGAACTACAAAATAAATTGAATGAAAAATACCAAGTTACTGAGCCGAAAATGTTAAATCCAAAAATTAAAATAATAAATTATAAAAGTAGTGAGAAACCGAATGAAAAGCAAATTGAAGATCTTATACATCAGATTTATATGATTCAGAGTGGAGACATACAAGTAAAGTTTATCAAATATTTTCCATCAAGAAACAATTACACTATCTACGCGGAAACTTCTGGAAAGCTATTCAAAAAAATCTTCGAAGACAATAATAGAAGAATACTTCTGGGATGGCAATGTTTGACAGTATATCAAAATAACGACATTTCTCAGTGTAGAAAATGCTACCGTTTTAATCATACAGAAAAGAATTGCAGGAATGAGAAGATATGTGGCAACGGTCACGAAGGAGAAAATTGTAAGCATGTATCAATAGAATGCTGCAACTGTAGATATGGAAATGGAATTTATAATATTAACCACTCACATACCGACAAAAACTGTCCATCGTACAAATATTATCAGGAACAACAAAACTTAAGGATACTTTTTTAAAATTCAAGTTCATCTTTTACTACTCCTGTCTCTAAAGAGGACCTAAAAATGTCAGTAAATAAATACATTAATGATTTCCAAATTCCAAGTATTGCAACAAATATAGCACAAAACGTCGATGAACTTAATTTATGTACACAAAATTGTGATGCAAAATTTCGAATTTTTAATATGAACATAAGGAGTATAAAACACAACATTGATTACTTAAAAATACTACTCGACCAAATATGGTACAATTTTGATCTAATAGTTTTAACTGAAACGTGGCAAGTGGTTGTTATTTCTTGCTTCAATCAGCAGGGATATGACACGCTGTATAACTTTGGCACTTATAACCAAAACGATGGGGTGATAGTTTTTGTAAGAAATAAACTGCAATATAATCATGATTCACTTTCACCGATGGAATCAAAATTTTAAGCATAATGATCCAAATTAACCATAACAAAATTGAGGTATCTGCAATTTATCGTCTGCCATGTTCAGAACCCCACGAGTTTTTAAAGAATATTGAATTTTTTTTTCAAAATCAAAATAAAGTTCATTTAAAGCAACATATTTTCTTGGGAGATGTCAATATAAATATTTTGGACGATGATCCCATCACAAATGAATACTTGAATATCCTATCAAGTAACGGATTTCTGTCCTATATAAACCTACCTACAAGGTCCATCAGTGGCACATGTATAGATCACTGCTTTGTGAAAGACTTATCCAACAAAATTACTTGTATACCAATAATCCTACAAAGCGATATTACTGACCACTTCTCCACTGTTTTACTGATATCTTCAAATGAAAAACATTCTAACATCCCTACCGTTAATAACAACCAGAAAAATTACAAATTTTTTGTCGACAATTCAAAACTAATATCAAATGTCAAACAAGAATCCTGGGAACAATTATACTCTATAATAATAATATAGACAAAGCAATGGGTCTGTTCATAGAGAAAATAAAAAAACTAATAGATATTAGTACCAATAAAGTAATAATTAGTCACAAAGAGAAAAGCAGAAATGCCTGGATTACCAAAGGATTAATAACATCGGCAATAGAAAAAGAAAGACTATATAATGTAATGAAACTAACGCCAACTACAAAGAATACCGACTGCTACAACCAATATAAAAATAAATTTATAGAGCTTGTAAGGCAAACCAAACGAAAACATTACCTAAATAAATTGAATAATAACTTAAATGATCCTAAGCGGCTTTGGACAACTATTGATGAGATTACTGAGAAAACAAAAGTTAAAGAGTGTGTCACTGAGTTAAATTCAACATCGGGAACAGTATTAAAAAATACTCAACAGATATGCGATGAATTTGTACAATTCTTTACTGACAGGCGAAAATTTAGCAAGTAATATACAAGCAAATGTACAAAATACTCAGCCTCCAAAAAGCACTTTATTTTGGATAATGTCGAGCAATGTGAAGTATACACCACTGTTATGTCCTTAAAAAATCGGAAAAGTCCTGGGTTCGATGGTATTAAAAGCGAGCATTTGAAAATTATAGCCGAGGACATAACAGAACCACTCACTTACCTAATCAACAAATGCTTTGAATCTGGCATATATCCCTCAATTTTAAAAAAGGTAATATAATACCGATGCATAAATCAGGAACAAAAACAGATGTTAACAACTATAGACCAATATCAATAATATCCAGTGTAGCAAAGGTTTTTGGAAAAGTTTTATCTACTAGAATGATTCGATACCTCACAAAATTCAAAATTTTAAGTGAAAATCAATATGGATTTACAGAAGGGAAGGCTACATCGGACCCAATAACTAAAATTGTAAATCAAATACATCAAAATATTGATAACAGAATCCCTTCAATCTGCATTTTTGTTGATTTAAAGAAAGCTTTTGACACAGTTAATCACAAATTATTATTAGAAGCATTGGAGAGAATTGGTTTCAGAGGAAACGCGTACTCACTGATCGAAAGTTATTTGTCAAATCGCCCACAATCTGTGCAGATATCAGGATCATTTAGTAAAGAAATGTATATTAAGTGTGGTGTCCCACAAGGAACTGTCTTAGGTCCGCTGTTATTCAATATATATTTAAATGATATTTTCCAAATTAATTGTGTTGGCAAAATAACTAGTTTTGCAGATGATACTGCAATATTATATGAAGGCACTGACTGGTCTGATCTGAAAAATGTAATTGAAAATGATTTTATCAAAATTATTCAGTGGTTTAACAGTAGAAAATTAAGCATTAACTACTCTAAAACACATTTTTTACCATTTGGATCTTATGCTAGACATCTGCCAAATTACACAATTTCTCCTTCAATATTAATGATCAAAAAATGCAAATTAATAGAGTGCCCAACATAAAATACCTTGGAGTGGTCTTGGATCCTCACTTACGATGGGACATCCATGTCAATTATATTTTAAAGAAAGTTAGATTTGTATCCTACAAAATTAAATACCTTGGGAATATATTGACAGAAAAATATCTTCGAACATTATACCATGCACTGATTGAGCCTCATCTCACATATGGTATATTAGCATGGGGAGCTGCATGTTCCTCACATATCTATAATTTAGATGTTTTTCAAAAAAGTATTCTAAAAATGATATTTAAAAAACCGAAACTTTATCCCACTGAAAAATTATACGCAGATGTTCGAATGTATGATATAAGACAGCTATATTTCTTACACAGTATCACTCACTACCATAAATTTGTAAACTCCGACCAAAAAATTAAACCTAATCATTATACCAGGTACAAAATTCGTGGCACAGTAGTTCCTCAACCGCATAAATCTATAATGCAGCGATCATATCTGTATTTAGCGCCTAAATTTTATGAAATTATACCTAAAGACTTAAAAGATTTACGTTTCGGAAATTGTTTCAAAAGAAATTTAAAAAAGTGGCTACATTCTATATCTAGGACTGAAATTCATAAACTCATAAATACGAACATCAACTAAATACATAATCTACTGTAGCTAATTTTTGTCCTTTTTTGTCATTTGCATTCTACAGTTTCAACTTAAATTATTGGTCCATGTACAGGCGATGCCTTCTATTGGGCCTGTTTTGATTTTATATTTATTTACTCATATTGTTTGTTATCTTTGTACATTGAGTGAATAAATATTATTATTATTATTATTATTATTTAAGTATGAGTTCTAAGTTTACTATTACAGCGAGAAATACATCAAGTAATTGACTCACTATGTCCGATGTTTTTAATCATTTGCAAGGTTTGGTTCGCCAAATTATTCCCCACGTACAAAAACAATTATGAGGATTCTAAAAACTCAAAAATAAAAAAATTAAATTTTTTGAACATGATACAAAGTCTCGAAAAAATTAATAATTGGAAACTCTTGATCTTAAAATCCTCGTATTTCACTCTCAAATTATGAATATTAGACCAGTTGAGTAATAAAAAATCTAATTGGTTTCATTTCCTAATGTGTGAACAACGACAATCTGAGTCTATACGTATTTGATTTCCAGTATATTTACTTCGCGAGTAAATAGCTCTATTGTAAAATACCACAACTTTATACAGGGTGTTTTCAAAGTTGAGTCATTTATTATAACAGATTGTAAAACTCGTCAAGAGAAATTGATATACCAAAATCACCTATATAAAATTTGCGTAAGGGAGTTACTCTACATTATTAAAAAGTATTTATAAAAAAAACATTATCAAGTTAAATGGATACCGTTTTAACAAAAACTGTTCAAAATTGTCCTCATTTGTT